AGTTGTTATTTGTTTTATTCCTTTCTTTAGACGATGCAAATCGGTAAACATGCAAAAATTATCAGGTAGTTCTAGAAGAATTCACATTGTACGGAGTCCATATTATCAATGACGTTTGAAATTAAAAGTGGAAGGGATACGTAAATTAGCTCCGAAGGAAGCCAAAGATGTGTAGATTTGGTCGAATGAGTCTTAGGCGACTGTCCCATAACTCTGGTCAATCCATGCTGGGCTTCTTATCTTCATTTACTTCAGTATTTATACTTTAACTCTGTAAGTTTGACTTTAATATAAATATAAAAGGAACAATATCTTTCCTCAATTTTGCTCCAGCTTTACTAGCTATAACGTCAAATAAAGATAAGCACTATCCTTTTCCAATTCTTTAGTAAATTTAATCTTTCCATTCATCATCTTAATTAAACTTAGGAAATTCCATAGGTTGTCTTTAGTCAACCACGTGTCTAACCCATAATTTAATCACCAAATGTGCCCATTGAAGTAGGCGACCCTCTCGTTTATTTTAGTGATTAAGTGCAGTTCAGCGTTAAATGTATCTATATAATTATTTACTCCTTACCTAAAATTGTATTCAGTATCTATGGATGTTGATCTAACGTTAATTCCTTAGCCTAGATAAAATCAGGCTAGAAGGAGACAGGATTGCAGTAGGCAGTCTTTCTTTCTTATTGCTAAGTTAATTTTTGTAGGGTGTGGTTTCCAGATCTGATAATGTCGGTCACGGTGAGAAACAAACCTCGTCACGGATTCATTGAAGTCGTGGGAAATTGCGCTAAGGACTTATTCGAATAGATCTACTTTCACTATTCCAAGGCAATTATTCTTCTGATTCAGGTCAGGCCACTTTGCCAATACCTTCTATTCACCTCTTCCAACATCAATTTATTAAGAAGTTTGTCGAAGACCCTTTTATATCCTGTTTTTATTAATTACTTTTCTCAGTAACCGATAATCAACAAAGGCTTTTTGCTTCAGATTAGTTCGTCAAGCATACATGAGGTCAAACATGCAATATGACTATTAAAGCCACCGTATTTCGTTGTTTGCATAACTAAATTATTGATGCCACAACCCAACTTGTTGCATGGGGTATATTTCTGGTATATTTCATCCACATAAACTTAATTTTAGATTTGTATTTTTATTAAGATTTGTAACTTACATATTTGACAGAGGATTTATACATCCTCCATTATAAAAATTATTGATAATGCATATTTTATTTGCGTTTATTTACTTTCGGATATAAATTTTATGAATTTATTTG